ATGAATGGTGAAGACATTTACACATCCACCTCTGGCACTGGGAGTCCCTGGACATGATTCACTGTGAGTTTAGAGGACACCTCTACCAACCACCCATAAAGTCCTGCTTTCCTGCTCTGTAAAAAAAGAGATGAGCAGGGCAGCTCCTGAGCTGCCTGTGAGACCTGAGCTCATCCACAGTGGTGGCAAAAATCCACATGAGTGTTGCTGAGTTGTGACCTGAACTTTAGATTCAATCTCATGGTTGTGGCTGAGGGAGGGGTGGGACTGTGGGACAGCACCTTGTCCGTCCTCACTTGTGTTATGCATTGAGCAGTTTGGGAGGAGGGTTGCAGCTACCCCTTGGGGAAACAGAGCAATGAGCTGGCAATGTGCGATCGCAGCCCAGAAGGCCATCTGTATCCTGGGCTGCATCAGAAGAAGTGTGGCCAGCAGGGCGAGGGAGGGGATTCTGCCCCTCTACTCCACTCTCGTGAGACCCCACCTGGAGTACTGCATCCAGCTCTGGAGTCCCCAACATAAAAAGGACATGGACCTGTTGGAGTGGGGCTACAGGAGGGCCACAAAGATGATCAGAGGGGTGGAGCCCTTCTGCTGTGAGGACAGGCTGAGAGAGTTGGGGTTGTTAGCCCTGGAGAAGAGAAGGCTCCAGGGAGACCTTATTGCGGCTTTCCAGTACCTAAAGGGGCTACAGGAGAGCTGGGGAAGGACTTTTCACAAGGTCACGTAGTGATAGAATGAGGGGGAATGGCTTCAAATTGGAAGAGGGGACATTTAGATGAGATATTAGGAAGAATTTTTTCACTTTAAGGGTGGTGAGGCACTGCAACAGGTTGCCCCGAGAAGCTGTGTCTGCCCCATCCCTGAAGGTGTTCAAGGCCAGGTTGGACGGGGCTTGGAGCAACCTGGTCTAGTGGGAGGTGTCCCTGTCTATGGCAGGGGGGTTGGAACCAGGTGATCTTCAAGGTCCTTTTCAACCTAAAACATTCCATGATACTGTGAAACCCACTTTAGACTTGGCTGCGGTGCATCCAATGCTCATCCCTCTGAAGAACAGCTCCAGCCCTTATACTTCCCATCCTCCCAGAAGGGAACTGGTGGGGAGAAATGAATGATGCCCTGACTGCTACACCTGGCAGGGAGGCGACTTTGGATCTAGGGAGTCATCTGGTGTGAGATGATTTTGCTTGGGGATAAAGGGGATCCAAGAAAACATCCTTCATAGTCTTGGTAGCCGCAAGAGCGAGACACGGACGGAATCAGATTGACCTACTGTGCTTCTTCAGCAAGGAGGGAGGGAACAATCTCCTTCTTGTGCAGCTTCAGCAGTTCAATAGTAGTTGCCTTTAATCATGAAATGATTTGGGGGAGAAATACCAGCCCAGGAGCATCCCCAGTCCCGTCCCTTACCCCTCACATGTGGGACAGGATAGAGACCTCCGGCAGGAGGTGGGGGCATTTTAATACACGAGGTTTTCCCCTGCTTCTCCCCTCTCCTACAAATAAAACCTAGCGAGGGGGCTGTGAGGAGGCCCCTGAAACTTTGCAGTGGATTTTTCTTTCTTTTTTTCCGCTCCTTCTCAGAAAGACTATAGAGCCCTGAGTACATATTTGCTGAGTCTGCCCCACACACAGATGCTGAGCTC